GGATTATGAGGTTAAGAGATCAAGACCATCCTCGCCATCATGGTGAAATGCCATCTCTACTAAAAATACAAAAATTAGCCAGGTGTGGTGGCATGTGCCTGTATTCCCAGCTACTCAGGAGACTGAGGCAGGAGAATCACTCGAACCTGGGAGGTAGAGGTTGCAGTGAGCTGAGATCGAGCCATTGCACTCCAGCCTGGCCACAGAGTGAGACTCCGTCTCAAAAGAAAAAAAAAAAAGTAAAAAGCAATAGCACTTGGTGCTGATTGACTGTACTCCATTGCAATAATTCCTGCCTACAACATCTCTGCCCACCCAAGAGATTTGCAGTGCCCCTCCCTATGGAAGGAGAAGGCCTCCCATACTGATGATGTTGCTTTGATCAGTGAAACAGCTGCCACCTGTCTGAAAAGCTAATCATGAGACTCCAGCATGGCTTTTGCTGCACTGCTATGAAAACAGCCTGTCTGGGACAGGCACTCTTCAGTACTGATACCAGCATGAAGATCTTTAAAGAGCAGGTACATAATGCAATTAAGGCCTGAAATGTTGAAAGCCACTGAGACCTGGGAGTTTTTACTAGTGTACAACTCAGCGAAAGCTGACTCACATAGCGGGGGAACTGTATAATACAGCTGGCTGCAAGGTGCATTTTCTTTTTTTTGAGATACAGTCTCTCTCTGTTGGCAGGCTGGAATGCAGTGGCGCAATCTCGGTTCACTGCAACCTCTGACTCCTTGGTTCAAACAATTCTGTCTCAGTCTCCCGAGTAGCTGGGATTACAGGCATGTGCCACCACACCCAGCTTAATTTTGTATTTTTAGTAGAGACGAGGTTTCACCATTTTGGCCAGGATGATCTTGATCTCCTGACTTTGTCAGGAGGTCGTGATCCACCCGACTCAGCCTCCGAAAGTGCTGGGATTACAGGTGCGAGCCACTGCGCCCGGCCTGCAAGGTGCATTTTCACAGGCACTTTGTAAAGCAATCTGGGAGCATCTGTGAAATTTATAAATACACCTGTTCTTGGGCTGAGCCGTTCCACTCTGGGACATCCATAGAAACAAGACCCGGTGCACAGGCTAGGGCCCAGGAATGCACATTGCAGCAGGGAAAATGGAAACATTGAACGTTCATTACCCAACCTACTGGTGACCCTGAAGTCCCCACTCTCCACCACCTACACTGCTGCATCACCAAGGCTGGCATCCCTTCAGCTCCAGCTCTTGCTGCTCCCCCAAGCCTGCTGCCACCTGGCCCCTGCCCCATGCAGCCTATTCCTCACAACAACCAGAATATTTCCTTGAAAACACAAGTCCCGTCACCCCACCCCTCCACTCACAAGACCCTCACCATCCCCTTCCTTCTCCTCTCTGAACATGGCGTCTGCTCTTTCTCCTCTTGCTAGGCCTTGCTAGGCCTCTGGCCACATTCCTGCCTCAGGGCTTTTGCACTGCCTTTCTCCTTTGCCCTCACTATTTGCCTGGCTCAGCCCCCCTCTTCCTTCTGTTGTCTACAAAGACCTCCTCTCTGTAGCCTCCCCGTCTCCCTCCTCCTCTGCTTGACTTGTCCCCACTGCTCTTGGCTCCATATGGCAGCATTCTGTGACACCCTTATTTGTTGTCTTTGCCACAAACTCTTTCTAAATGTAAACTCCTGGAGGGCAGGGACATTCCTTTTCTATATAGTGCTGTACCCCGGTGCCTAAACCAGTGTGTGATCAGTAAGTACTTGTTTAATAACTAAAACCAGAACAAAAAGCAGTTTTCATTGGGAAACAAATCTCTCAAAGAATTTTATGACCAGGTGCAGTGGCTCATGCCCTTAATCCCAAGAGTTTGGGAGGCCAAGGCAGGAGGATCATGAGGTTATGAATTCAAGAGTATCCTGGCCAACACGGTGAAAATCCACCTCTACTAAAAATACAAAAATTAGCTAGGCATGGTGGTACATGCCTGTAGTCCCAGCTTCTTGGGAAGTTGAGGAAGGAGAATCGCTTGAACCCAGGAGGTGGAGGTTGTAGTGAGCCAAGATTGTACCACTGCACTCCAGCCTGAGTGACAGAGCAAGGCTCTGTCTCAAAACCAAAAAAACAACAACAAAAACAGAATTTTACAATACACATCTTCTTCCCTCCCTATTGTTTATTATTATTATTATTATGCTTTTTAAAAGATGGGATTTCACCATGATGGCCAGGCTGGTCTTGAACTCCTGACCTCAGGTGATCCACCCACCTTGGCCTCCCAAAGTGCTAGGATACAGGCGTGAGCCACCACGTCCAGCCGTTTTTTTTTAAAATCAGGTTATCAAAAGTCTTCTTTTTTTTTTTTTAAGTTTTTCTCTCCCTAGTGTTTTTATGATGGTGCTAGCTAGTCCATGCATCTGAGTTTGGCTTATGGGGCCAAGTAGAGCATTACTGGTAAAGTGGATTGCAGGCCCAGCCCTGAGTGACACAGTCACTGTGTGAAGAGCCAGCTGGGCCACAGCACCCGATGAGCAGCTTTTTCAGTGGTCCCTGATGTCATGTCTAGGAGCAGCAACTGGGGATGGCTTTGAGGAAGATTTATAGTTAAGCAAGTAAACGCTTCATTACAGGACCAGCCTTGGTCCCTGTGCTTGTCCTGGGGCTGACCCCTGGCCATGCTGACTGGACCAGATGATTGTGGATACACAGCTGAGGGGCTGATGTCTGTCTCCAGAAGAGACAAATCCCACCCTCACTCCTCCTGAGGCTAGAAACACATACACCATTTAGTGCCAGGGTTGGTGTGGAGAGACCCCACAGAGCTGGGGTGGGGGGTGGGGGAGCCCCTGCATGGAGAAGCAGAATAGCCAGATGAGAGAGAGAAGACAGAGAGAGAGAGAGAAGGTGGGAGGGAGGGAGGGAAACAGAGAGGGAGGAGGAGAGAGACAGAGACAGAAAGAGGGAAGTGGGGGTGGGGGGAGAGAGGAGGAAGCCAGAGGCTGTGGGGAGAGAGCAGGGCCAGCCCTTTCCAAGCCCTTTGTCAGCCTCATGCCATCTGCTTGTAAGAAGCTCCCATGGCTTCCGGTGAGTTCTCTTCACTTTTAGGAGCCTGTGTAGCTTCTACTTGTGAAGGAAATAATGTATACAGTAGTCTGTTTCCAAGACAAAGTGCCTTAAGTTGGTTTAGGTCAGCAAACTACAGAAGAAACAGGATATACTAGGCCCCAGCTTGGATAGCCAATGCCTGCTTCTTGCCCCGCTCCTGCCCCATGCCCCCACTGCTTAATTGCCCTCACCCGATCCAAAGAAGTTTAGTCTAAGATGAAAGTTTACTAGCCTGCAAAATAGCTCACTTTGTCTGTTCTTATCAGCCTTTCCAGCTACTTAGGTCATAAATACTTAAAGAGCCCTGAGCTGACTAGGATTTCAATGCATTGTGGGCTACAACAAAATGTAGCAAGACAACCCTAAAAAAAACCTAAAGCTCCTACCCAACAATCAATAGGCAATGTCCAGGAAGATTGTGGCTCCATAGTACTCAGCCTTTGAAGAACTGGGGGCTAGACCTGCACACTAGGGGGTAAATTGCTTGTGACTCTGCTTGGTGTGCCTACCTACCAGACACCTGATCTTGCAAGACCATCATTAAAAGTCTTACTTTCTGGTTAGGCATGGTTGCTCATGTCTGTAGTCCCAGCACTTTGGGAGCCCACGGTGGGCGGATGGAGAGGTCAGGAGACTGAGATCAGCCTGGTCAACATGGTGAAACCCTGTCACTACTAAATCTACAAAAATTAGCTGAGCATGGTGGTAGGTGCCTATAATCCCAGCTACTTGTGAGGCTGAAGCAGAAGAATCACTCGAACCTAGGAGGTGGAAGTTGCAGTGAGTGGAGATCATGACATTGCACTCCAGCCTGGGCAATAGAGCAAGACTCTGTCTCAAAAAAAAAAACAAAAAAGATAGTTAAGATGGTAAATTGTATGTATTTTAAAGACCAAAAACAAACAAACAACACAGAAAACCAAAAGACTGGCCACAGCAGGCATTAGTGAGAACATGGAGAACCTCCGACTCATGAGAGCTGCTGGGAATGGTGTGGTGGCTTCTTAAAAAGTCAAACTTGCAGCCAGGTGTAGTGGCTTATGCCTGTAGGCCTAGCACTTTGGGAGGGATCCCGAGGTGGGTGGATCACGAGGTCAGGAATTGGAGACCGTTATTTGTAAATTTTTGGTGTCACAAAAGTAGCAGTGCTTGAATATAAATTTTCTCTCAGCAAGGTGACTTTACTTTCTGCAGAAAGGGCACACTCACCAGCAGCTTGCCATGAGAGTACACTGAAAAAAGGAAAGGTAGCACATTTATCCCTTACGGACTAGCCCCTACTGCTGTGCCCTGCCTCCATTGGCTGGAGCTGGGCCTCAGAATCTAAACTATACCGATTGGCTAATAACTCAAAACGTTTCCTAAAAGGGTGAAGGCAAGAGAAGCAAAGGAAAAGAGGAAGTCACTTATGAAAGACTTAAAGAAGCAATAACATTTCCAAATAAGGAAGGGGAATTAACCATGGGCTGAGGCCTGCCTGGGCTTGTCCAGACATGTCAGGGCAAATATCTGGGCTACAGTATAAGAACTAGAAACTCAGCCAGGTGCAGTGGCTCACGCCTGTAATCCCAGCACTTTGGGAGGTCAAGGCAGGTGGATCACGAGGTCAAGAGATGGAGACCATCCTGACCAACATGGGGAAACCCTGTTTCTACTAAAAAAATACAAAAATTAGCCAGGCATGGTGGTGCATGCTTGTAGTCCCAGCTACTCAGGAGGCTGAGGTGGAAGAATCACTTGAACTGGAAGGTGGAGGTTGTAGTGAGCCAAGATTGCACCACTGCACTCCAGCCTGGTGTCATCTCCAAACAAAAAAAAAAAGAACTAGAAACTCAGAATATGCCTATGCCTATGTCTTTATTATAACTAACAGCTACTTAGGATTATTAACAAAAGGCTTTAGAATAAATCAATCTTTGAAGAAGCTATTATTCATTCTTAATAAGCTAAGAAGAAAGCTTTGAAGAGGAACTCTTACTTACTTTTATTTTCTACAGAGACCAGCCTGGCTAACATGGTGAAACTCCATCTCTACTAAAAATACAAAAATTAGGCCAGGCGTGGTGGCTCAAGCCTGTAATCTCAGCACTTTGGGAGGCTGAGGCGGGTGGATCACGAGGTCAAGAGATCGAGACCCTCCTGGTCAACATGGTGAAACCCCGTCTCTACTAAAAATACAAAAAATTAGCTGGGCATGGTGGCGTGTGCCTGTAATCCCAGCTACTCAGGAGGCTGAGGCAGGAGAATTGCCTGAACCCGGGAGGTGGAGGTTGCGGTGAGCCGAGATCGCGCCATTGCACTCCAGCCTGGGTAACAAGAGCGAAACTCTGCCTCAAAAACAAAAAACAAAAATTAACCTGGTGTGGTTGTGCATGCCTGTAATCCTAGCTACTCAGGAGGCTGAGGCAGGAAAATTGCTTGAGGTTCAATGAGCCGAGACTGTGCCACTGCACTCCAGCCTGGTTGACAGAGCAAGACTCAGTCTCCAAAAAAAAAGAGTTGTGTCCTCTATAAATATTTTGTATATTTTTAGTTACAAAATTTGTAATTGTTAAGTGTGTGGTCACGAGTGTGGAAAATGCCCACTGCTAGTGTGTAGTCACAAGCTTGGAAGGTGCCCCCTGCTAGTGTGTTGTCATGGGCGTGGAAAGTGCCCACTGTATGTGGTCACGAGAGTGGAGAGTGCCGGCTGCTAGGGTGTGGTCACCGGGGCGGAACGTGCTCATTTTAAGTGTCACAGGTTTAAGATGAAGGCAGTTGGCCTGGATGTGTGATTGTTTTCTCCAGCAGTCATGGAGTAGAAGGGGTGGGCTCCCCCAGTTGGGTTTTTCTCAGTGAATACAGTGGAGAGTGAGTGGGAGGAGGCGAAAAAGCACGGCCTTGTCTCCTGTGTATGAAGAGTCAAGAGTGACGACCAGCGTGGGACAGCCCGAGGGGAGATCTCCCCGAGGCAGGAGAGTTTATGCGAGGCGGCGCAGTGAGCTGCAGGGCAGGAGGTGGGGCTCCACGGGAGACTTGACGGGGGGCTTTCAGCCCTTTGCGGCTTCTCATGGTGAGGACCCAGGGAATGTCTTGGACAGAACAGTGTGCGCGCCTGTCTTCTACTGTCGAAGCTTCAGGCTGTTTAGCCTCTATTTCTCCAGAAATGCACTAAGAGAATCTAGAAGACCAGGCTGAACGCAGATTAGAAAATGCTGAAGGAAGCATAGTCGAGCTGCAGCGGAGTGAATTACCGAGTAAAGGTGAGAGGCCTGAGAAGGTGAGAATAACAGGAGGTTACGAGACACAAGCCCGCCACAGGAAGGACTGAGGAAGAATGGCTCCATTTCTAGAGTCGAAGAAAAGTTATATCTCAGACTCCGGAAGCCTGTGGTTTGAGGGGGCAAAATTACACCAAACCACGCCGAGAAGTGTCAGATGGTAACTGCTCTGCACCAAAAGAGACGGGAGGACACAGCGAACACACAAGGTTGGTCCTCCCGGGGGGACTCAGGAGCGGCGGCGGGTGGAGTGGGGAAGGCAAGCCGCTACCGCGGCCGCTCCAGCTTCTGGCTTGCCGCGCGCTCCTTCCGCGGGACTCCGACTCCCGGCATGCCGCGCGCATTCTCGGCGGGACTCGGACTCCCGGCAGGCCGCGCGCACCCTCGGCGAAACTCCGGCTCCCGGCAGGCGGCGCGCCGGCTCATGCGTTCTGCTGTCTCGCGAGGCAACGCCCCCTGGCGGCCGGCGGGGATCGCCGCGGGGGCGGAGCCGGAGGCGGGGGGTTGCGCTTGGTGACGGGAGGACGCGCGGCCGCCGCGCACTCGGCCGGCGGCGGCGGCGGAGGACGCCGACAGCGCGGGCTGCCGCGGCGGCGGCGGCGGCGGCAGCAGCAGCAGCAGCAGCAGCAGCCGCAGCAACGCAGCGGATACCTCGGGGGAGCGGCGGGCGACTCACACGCGGCGCGCGGGCCGGGATGAGGGACTGTGGCGGCGCGGCCCGCGCGCAGCCGGCCGGTGAGAGTGCGGCGGCGGGCGGCGGGCGGTGGGCGGCGCGGGCCGGGAAGATGGCGGAGGGGCCGGCGCTGCGGTCCCTGTGGCCCTGGCCCAGCCTCCGCGGAGGCTCCAGGCCCGGCCGCGCGAAGAATCCGGGCCCACGGCGACTGCAGCGGCGGGAGGGGTGGTGACCCGGCCGTGGAGGGAGGGGGCGTGAGTGTTTGGGCCCGGCCGAGCGGGGGGCGCCGCGGCGTGAGAGGCCAAGGCCGCGCGGTGTCCGAGTGCGCGCCGAGGGGCCGGGCTGGGGTTGTGAGGGTGGGTGAGTGCGCGTGTGCCTGGCCCCAGGGTGGGTTGAGTGTGCCCGGCCCGAAGTGGGTGTGTGCGCCCCGTCCAGGGTGGGTTGTGTCCTGTCCGAGGTGGGTGTGAGTGTGCCCCTGCCCGAGGGGGTTATGGGTGTGCCCGGCCGAGGGGCTGAGTGTGCCCGTGTCCAGGGTAGGTGTGAGTGCCCAGCCCGAGGGGGTGTGAGTGTGCCCCTGTCCAGGGTGGGTATGGGTGTGCCCTTGCCCGAGGGGGTGTGAGTGTGCCCCTCTCCAGGGTGGGAGTGAGCCCTGCCCGAGGTGGGTGTGAGTATGCCCCTGTCCATGGTGGGTGTGCCCTTGCCCGAGGGGGGTGTGAGTGTGCCTCTGCCGGAGGTGAGTGGGAGGGGCCCCGCCCGAGGCGGGTGTGAGTGCAAGTGTGCCCAGCCTGAGCTCGGGGCGCCGGCCGCATTCCCGGGCGCCGTCGGAGTGGATACCAGGTGGGCGCCCGCCCAGGCTGGTGCCTGAAGGGCGGCCCGGGTGCAGGGCTGCTGTGCGCAGCGGTGCAGTCTCCGGCTTTGTCCCCGGGGTGCGGGGAGCGGGCTTGGGCGTCTCCAGGTGGGGTCATGGCTGCCTGCGGGTGGGCTCTGCGGCCTCGCCCCTGCGGCACGCGCGGGCTGGATCTCCGGCGCTCGGAGCCTTCGACTCCCCTTTGCTCTTTGAGCTGGATGGAAATCCCTCGGTTGCTTCCCAGTTGCTGGAGTGCTGTGGGTGGAGGCAGCGTTCCATGCTGAGGGGCACGAGCGAGGCAGGTTGTGCATTTTGGGGCCCAGGACGTTTTTTATTTTAAAACGTGCAGCCGGCTCCGCGGCAGCTGTGGGTGTGTTCCGAGCCGCTTCCCACCAGCAGCTGCTGTGGGCGCTGCGCAGCTTCGTAAACGCAGCCGGCCCCCTCCCCCTCAGTTTTGTATGGGTTTAGCCAGACCTCCAGTGACCTCTGCTGAGAAACCTACAGTGGCGACGCTTCGCATGCCTCCTGGTGCAAATATGGAGATGTGTCTTTTGAAGCCAGTGAGCGGAATTGGACACTGCGTCCTAGGTGCCCTCTATAAACAGCAGGTGGTTCCGTCGGCGGCGCCCAATCCACAATGAGCTAGGTGCGATTCTCCTGCCAGGGGAGGGAAAGGCGATTCGAGAGGAGGTGTGGCTGTAAAGCGAGGAGACTCCACAAACCATCCTGGGCACAGGCTCTGAAGCCATGAATGCTTGGAGTGAATGAATGGGGGCGGCACCTCGCTCGCTCCCTGCACTTGGTCTAGCCAGCTGTCTTGATGAGAGGCAGGGGAGCGGAGGACACTGGAGGGCGGGTTCTGGAGCCAGGCTGCCCGCCTTGGAGTCGCAACTCTTCTTTTAACTGGCTTTGTGGTCTTCGGCCAGGTCGATGTGCCTTTGCTTCTCACCTGTAAAATGGGAACACGAATAATATTGGTCTCACAGTGTTGTTGTGAGGACTCAGTGAATTAAGACTTGTAAAACACTTTCTTCCTGTCGCATTGTGTTTTAAAAAGTTAGGAATTGTTATTACTGTCAAGATGGCACCCCCAGGGTTAGAGTTAAGTTTGGTTCTGCCAGGATGCACGCGCTGAGTCAGTGGGTCTCTAGTTCTCCCCGGCACTGCCAGTGTAATATAAACTTCTAGTTTATGTTAAACTGGAAGTCTGTGGCACTGGTTTCTAACACAGTAAGCTGAGGTCATATTTTGGATGAACACATGTTTATAAAGGTAAAAGAGAAACAAGTTTCATATAATTGGATGAATTATTATGTAAGATTGTTTTAAGACGTTCTTAGAGGAAAACGGTCAGGCGCGGTGGCTCACATCTGTAATCCCAGTACTTAGGGAGGCTGAGGCAGGCAGATTGCTTGAGGTCAGGAGTTCAAGACCAGCCTGGCCAACATGGTGAAACCCTGTCTCTACTAAAAATACAAAAATTAGCTGGCTTGTGTTGGCTCATGTCTGTAGTCCCAGCTACTCAGGAGGCTGAGACAGAGAATCACTTGAACTCGGGAGGTGGAGCTTGTAGTGAGCTGAGATTATTCCACTGCACTCCAGCCTGGGTGACAGAGAGAGACTCTATCTCAAAAAAAAAAAAAAATTCTTAGAGGAAAAAGCTTGGCACTTATTGTTCTTGGGGTCATATAGGGTTGTTGTTGACAGAAGTAAGATTTAAAGTAATGTTCTCTGAACTAAACTGCCAAGTTTTTTTTTTTTTTTTTTGAAATGCAGCTTTGCTCTTGTTGCCAAGGCCAGAGTGCAATGGTGCAATCTCTGCTCACCACAACTTCCGCCTCCCAGGTTCAAGTTATTCTCCTGCTTCAGCCTCCCAGGTAGCTGGGACTATAGGCATGCACCACCACACCTGGCTAATTTTGTATTTTTAGTCGAGACAGAGTTTCTTCATGTTTCTCATATGGTCTCAAGCTCCCCACCTCAGGCAATCCACCTGCCTCGGCCTCCCAAAGTGCTGGGATTACAGGCATGAGCCACTGCGCCCAGCCAGTTTTTGCTTTTGAGACATGGTTTCACTCTGCTGGCCAGGCTGGAGTGCAGTGGGGCAATTATGGCTCACAGAAGCCTTCACCTCCTGGGCTTAAGGCATCCTCCCACCTTAGCCTCCCAAGTAGCTGGGACGACAGGTGTGTGCCACCACACCTGGCTAATTTTTTTGTTTTTTTGCCATGTCTCCCAGACTGGTCTCAAACTGCTGAGCTCAAGTGATCCACTGTCCTCGTCCTCCCAAAGTATTGAGATTACAGATGTGAGCCACTGCATTCAGCCTGTCATCATTGTTATACTTCTCAGTGTTATCCTTGCAACAGAAAAGGTGATTTATTAAAATAAACTTTAAGTGAAAGGAGGGACATAACAAAGTGAGAAGGTAGAATCACCAGCATTGTAACGTTCTGCCTTGCTAAGCTGTTGCAAGAAGTAAGATTTAACTTGCTTCAAAACATGATGGGAAGATTCTCCATGTTTTCCAAGGAGATGGTTCTCCTCCTCAAGTCTGGTCATCTCTTCCCTCTGTATCTTAGTTTTACCTTAGAAAATTGCATCTCAACTCCTTTGTATTGTGTGACACAAAGACTAGGTAAAACCCTTCTACCTTTAGTAGAGTGTTTTGAGATTTGCGACATTTTAGGTGAGAATAATTTAAATGCTTAGTTAGTGGCAGCAAAAATAGCCTAAGGTAGATATTTAAATGCCCATCCCAGCTTTATCTCCTACACGTATGCTGGGGTGGGCACTGGAAGCTGCACACTGCATGGAGAGTTGGCATGTCCTGAAACAGTTTTTTCAACAGTAGTTCAGAGAATGCAGCCTCCTAGTAGGCTTCTACTGGTTTCTTTGGTGCTGTTGAAAAAAAGTCCATGAAATATGGTCTTATATTGAGATACCTAGTTCTACTAGCAAAGCCCCTCTGCTGTGCTTCTTCGCTGACTCATGGTCCTGTGTGTCATAGACCTTATGCACTCTGTCTCCCAGTTAGCTTTGTGGGTGTCCTGTAAAGACACCACAAGGCATGGCTCAGAAGAGCAGACTGGTGTGCAGCCTGTGGAGCACAGGCTGGGGTTGGCAGACTCCCTCGTGGAGCTGGACTACACTGCCTGGCCTGTCTTCTGTCCCTTCTTGTTACCTGTCTTGCTTCAGCAGATGAAAATCCTTACCCTCCAACATTGGCTGTCTCCGCTACCCTGTGCTTGCCTTGCTGTGTCTTTCAGCTGCCTCTTGGACTCGCTCCCAAGTTTATCTGACAAGTCTTCCCTGTGCCCTGAGATTGAGTGTGACCCTGACTTCCATCCTCTGGCCACACTGTTTCTGCCTGCTGTGGTCCTCCTCCTCAGCGGGTCTGCACGCCAGTTCCTCTACCACTTCTGCTGTGTTTGATATCAAGACACCTGAGACCAGGATTTTGCAGTTTGTCTTCCCTAAAACTTGTGTTGGTCAGTGGTGCCTGCCATCCTTCCAATCCCCTGAAATGTGATGGTGACATAGTAATTTTGTTATCATACATCTGTGAGTTTTGTTAACGAGAAGTAGCATCCCCCTCCATTCGTAATCTTGTTATGAAACTCATACCAGTCTTTGACACAGTTCATGTGTTGTGAAAAGAGATTAGTAGTTGCTATTATGCTCCATTG